CATGTCGCAGTGAAGCATGAATACCCCACTCAGACACATTATACTGACTCCGAGCCGACCAGTCCTTGTTGTACCCATTAATGCCGAGCGCCAGGCAGGGACCAACAAGTACCATATTTTAACGTCTTTTGGTATGACGCGGTCGGGGATCGAACCCGCGACCTTCCGCTCTCCGGGCGGACGCTCTAACCACTACACCATAAGAACAAAGATAAGTGTTTGCAAGAAACATCCTATGCAATAAGACCCGTGAAGAACTTGGTCTTCAGTAACCCATGCTTGTCGTAAGAGGCGACTAACGGAATCCGGTGGCACGTGTCATCTGTTCCCAGTTGTATTGGTCCATGCTCATGATCTTGATCACTGGATTGTCTGGTCCAGACTCGATTATTTTCAGACCGCCTTCACATAGCTGGAATATTGCGGAGTGCAGGGTAAAACTTAACTCACTCACTAACGTTTATTGTAGACACACGTACGAAGGGTGTCATCCCTGATTTTCACACTTTCGAGGAAGGTCGTATTAAGCTCTGTGAACCATTTCTCTGTGAAACTTATTGATTCCACTTATCATACGGCTGTGCTTTACTTGAGTTTATCAATTGTTTTATATGATATTTGTTTAACAACAATATTGCAGGTTTATGGCGGCGGCCTGTGACCAGACTGGGCCAGACAATCCAGTGATCAACATCGATCTAAGCAATGGAAGAACTAGTGATGTGGCATCGGCTACAGCTTGTCCTCTCGCTAGAACTCGGCTGAGTGAGTGAGTGAGTATGGTTTTACACCGCGTTTGGCAATATTCCAGCAATATCATAGGGGGGACACTAGAAATGGGCTTCACACATTGTATCCATGTGGGGAATCAAACGGGGTCTTCAACACGACAAAGATATATATTCATCGAGAAGAGAAAATATAAACCTGAATACTAAAATTGGCAAGTAAAGCTGATCTTGCTAACCTGTTTGTGCTGCTGAAATAATATTTCACACTGTAGATATATAACGATATCTTTAGACACAATAAGGATTTTAAAAAAATGTGCTTGCATAACATACATGTCACAAAGTGAATTTCCTCAGTGCACAGATAATATGCAAGGTATTTGAAATAAGGGGCTGTGCAACCCCGCGCTCGAGATCCATCACATTACTATACCTGCTTTAATACTCAGGAAAATGTCTATTCCATCTGGAGATTCCCCAGTCTTTGCACGACTCCAGGGTTCTCACTTGTACAAGGCCTGGCTATGAAAGCCGATCAATGTCCAACCATCACTCAGTTGGATTGGTGCTTGATTACATGCTCATGGGGGAATCGTGTACGAGCAGAGATTGAGATTGTGAGTTGGGTTTAGTGCTGGTTTGAACAGTATTCCAGTTACATCAGGTTGTGTTTAGTTTCATCAGTGTGTGAGGACACCTGATGTGATGCAGGTGTCCACTTTCAAACTTTGCTGACACCTATGAACATCTGTATGGTGCATACAATCCTGAAAATAAAATTGGGGCAAACAATGATTTGTACCCTGGTCAGGTTTCTGGCGTGCCCAAGGGACATAACTCTGCACACTGCCAACCCGTAGATGACTGGGTCATCCCTGCTATCTCAAGCGTGTAGCCTCACATACAACATATCTAATGGGTCCAGGGGCGATCCCTTGAATACAACCAACCTCCTACTGGGCTCCAGATAAGTTTTGAACACCAGGAGTACGTACTCCTTATTTTTTCAATATAGGAGTACTCGAAAACCTTAAGAGTACTGAATGGAATTTAATGGAGTATCAGTAGTCTTGTGTTTCGTTTCATATATGCACCACAACATTGCTTCTTGTGTAAACAGGTCAGAAACAATAAAACAATACTTTTTCAGATAAATACGTCTGTAAATGATTCTAAGACCGTACACCATTGCCGTGGTGCGTATCTGCTACGTTTTATAAATTATTTCCTACCGTATCGTGCAAATTTTTTATCCGTACATACGCCGATACGGCCCTTATCTGGAGCCCTGCTCCTATATATCTTGAAGACCTATACACCAATAACCAGCATTGTTCTGGACTTGACATCTGTGCAGTGCTTATTGTTCTTCCAGTTGTGAAGCATTTGTCCTGTGCTGGGGAGTGCAGATGGCTTGGAGTTACCTCTCCTGCATGATGATGGTTGGGGATTGACTCTCCCTCATTCCGATCCTTGGTTTCAAACCGTTTGTCAATGAGCTTAGTTTTATCCTGCAGTCAGCAATGTTCCAGCTATGTGAAGGCAGTCTGAAAAAATCGAGTCTGGACCATGCAATCCAGTGATCAACAGCATGAGTATCGATCTATGCAACTGGGATACGATGACGTGTCAACCAAGTCAGCGAGCCTGACCACCCGATCTGTCAGTCGCCTCTTACAACAAATATGAGCTGCTGAAGATCAGTTCTAACCCAGAACTTTTACGGGTGGGTTTGTCAGTCCATACATATGCTTGTGAGTTTCCTCTTTGTGACAAACACTCAGTTACTGCATCACTTCCGGGTTTCCTCCCCCATCCATCTCAGCATCATCTTGACCTATTACAACATATTTCAGTCATAAAACATTCAGAACATGACACACTTTTATGTTGGCGATGTTTATTTAAGACACAAAAAATCTTGCTTGGCTTTCAGTGAAGTTCTTGCTGGGTTGGTTTATTAGTGATCAAGTATCATTTTCGAATGTATCAGTAGTAGTTTATATACTATGAAACAAACAAATATTTGTGTGACACTTATTTGTGGATAACAACTACTTTAATGTACCATTAGTGGTACCTACACCTTGTCTGTTTTGCTTCTGAATAATAGTAAACTGAAAAAGTTCTTATACATAAATTGTGTCTGCTTTTTCATCAGTCAACTTCTACCAAATACCTGTCTCACAAGTCATGTTGAAGACAGCTTCATATTTTGCAAATGTGATCTTTGAGTAAACCTCCGCTAAACTGGATTTTTAAATTTACATTTCACGCAGTCATATTTTCCTTAATCCCAAGGTGAATTACATATGGTATTGAACAAATCAGCAAGAATACTGTGATCAATTAAATTTTGTGTCAATAATCCCTCGTGTAATTTCTCGACAAATGCTTATATTGATGGTTGCCATGGCAGCGTGATGGAGAGAAATCTTGAGCTGCAGTGTACAAACACAAACATGGAATATGCGACATCAGAATTTACTTTGCAAACATATTGATTACAAGGAAGTTTATGAATGTTAGTATTTTACAGATAATGCTGAAGATTTCATATGAGTGTCGGAGTATGGTTTTATACCACCTAAAGCAATATTCCAGCAATATCACAGCTGGGGACACCAGAAATGGGCTTCACACATTTTACCCACTTGGTAATTGAACCCTCAAACCACAAGGCTGAACCACCCCATCCAACTTTCAAATGACATTCTTATGCATGAAATAATCAACTGTCCAGATATTCTGATATTCAGGATCCTAATCAAGAGTGAGAGCAAACAAAACCTGTTGACCTCTAACTGGCGCCATATCATATGGTCTGTCCAGAAGGAAGAGTGAGTGAGTGAGTTAAAATTTAACGTCACATCGGCAATATTTCAGCCATATCGTGACGACCAGAAGAAAGAAGCTGTGCATCTATTCAAGGCCTGGTCAAGCATCTGATGAAATGTAGTGATTCCTATCCATTTACTACAATCATGTAATGATTACTTCAACAATTTCCTGCAAATGTACCCTTTTTATGCCTCCAGAGGATTTGGTGAGGTTGAATTGCCACTGTAAAAGTAATTGATACCTGGTCAATGGGTTTCCCAAAATTAACAGAAATCTGGGCATCTACACGGAAATATGGCAAGTTTAAAATGGCTTTGGAAAGCATTTCTGCTCAATGTGTGATACAGGTCAAAATGATGAATATTGAAGTTATTTTGAATCAATCAAGTTGACTGATATAAATATTTGGGCAAATCTTGGATTCAAACTAGCAGCAGTCCTTGCAGCACCTCACACAACTGGGCCACTCACTCCTTAAGGAGGGTAAATAAAGGTTGTCGAAAAACCAAACAGTGTGTTTTAACGCTACTTTGAACAGTATTTCACATAGGCGGATCCAGAGGGCGGGTGCAGGGGTGCACACTCCCCATTTTGTGCTGAGAGTTTGTTAAATGACCATTGAAACTCACGTGAAAACGAAGTGTGAACCTCCGCTTTCTCTAAAAGCTGTATCCACCTGTTTCACAGCCTGTTAACATGATGTGGGAGGGAAACTGAAGTGATGCAGGTCTTAACAGGGCTACAGATAACTTCTTGGGTCATTGAGTTATGTACTCGCTTGAGTTCATCTCCATTGGGTATCCTAATTTTTTTATTTGTGTAACCAAATAAATTGTACCCACCTCACTCAAACTCAATTGGGTATTTTGCCACTTTTCATTAACTGTAAAAATATAATAAAGTTTAAATGTTATTTTTGTTGGATCAGTAATATGAGAAACGATAAGAAAGTTGCAAAGTTCATGTGTTCAAATAGAACCTCTGAATATACCGGAGTTATTTTATCTATGCACCGGTACGTAAGCTATGATTTGACATTTTTGTGTGTACGCACGTAAGATCAAATTTATTGAGCATTTACAAAAAATAAGGCATACTTGTACACAATTATGCAACAGATTTCACTTAAATATTTGCGTAATTTACGCAGATACGCAGCTTATCTGCACCTCTGTCTTAAGACATTCATCGCTGACAACAGTAACATACTCAACAATATTGCCTGTATCTATCAGGGGCGGTGGGTGGTCAATGCATTTGCTCGTCAACGCCAAAGACCCGTGTTTGATTCCCCACATGGGTACACTGTGTGAACACCTTTTCTGGTGTCCCCTGCCGTGATATTGCTGAAATATTGCTAAAAGCGATACAAACTCACTAAATATATATCTACCATTTTTTGGTGAGTTAAAGAATACACAAAATAGCTGAAACAGAAGCTGTTTATTTTCTTCTTCACCATAACAAGTTTTTAACAGTTCTGAATAGGCAGAGCAAGCTGTAGTCTTTAAAGTTGCACTTAGACAATTATTATTCTCACAAAAGATACCCAAAATGACAGACATGATTGCGACCATTTTGGTTTGAACTCGATGACAGGGCATTCCATGATGAAAAATATTACTGATAAGCATTTAAATATATTCAAATCTCAAAATAATGCCAAAATATTCAAAATGAATAAACAGAAAATACATTCAGAGCAGAGACACCAAAGAGGTCACATGTTAATTAAATAGTAACAAACGTTAATTAAATAGTTACAAACGTTAATTAAATAGTTATACAAAATAAATATCTAATCTACTTGAATGGCTGTTTTGTGCAATAGAAGACTACAGCCCACCCTGAAACCTTGTAACAGTCTCTTCATCTTTCTTTGAACGTACAAAGTATGACAGGTTACCACATTACTACACATATACCCACGATGCACGTTCTGCACATCTCACACAGCGGCTGCCCCAGCCCCACGTCAATGCGTGGCTCTGGCCATCCCACTCGACATACAACGGTTGCTTCTCCTTCTTTTTGGATTTTGAGTTTTGTAGAAAACCCAAAGTCACCAGTAGAAAACATACAGCATGACTTTGACATTTTCCCTGGCTCAGCACAAAATTGTTATCAGTTTGAAGTCTGGAAAATTCTCATCAGCGTCATTGCTTTTGTTGATGATTTTTTTTAAGCGTTTTGTAAACAAAGATTACTGGAAATCACATCACAGGTCCTGATGGCGCACACAGAAGTATGGTAGAAACACATCGATTCTGACCAAATTATCCTATGGAAATATGTTAATCTGTTGAACTGTTCTCACAGTGTACCCCTCCCTTATAGAACCCCCAGTTCCTACATGCTTACAGCATCACACGGAATGATTTTCAATTTTTGGATTGTTTTTTAAATAACAGTCAAATTATTGTCTACAAGCTGTAATAGCTCTGGTTATGATACAAATGTACACTTCACTCTGTCGGAACTCGGACCCAGGCTTGGATCCTGACCCAGACCAGGATTCTATCCAGGTCTGGAGGCTGACAGACATGTTCAACATGGACATATGACATTTGGTGGATGCTGACTCTTGCAGCAAATACTATTAGATGACAACTAGCTTCAATGTGCCAGGCAGTGGTAGCTTGCTCTACAAATAAATGAGGACTGTTTCCCCACCAGCTTGAATGCCCAGCTGATGAAATCACACACAGCCACTACCAAGGCAGTTAGTTGTCATGTTGTCTAACACTGGTACTCTCCTCTAAGGAATCTCTGCTTGTTGGCAGGTGGCTAGTTCACGTTTCCTTGTTTTGAATCGTCATCTACTGAGTTGGATCACAGATGTCTGTACTATACATTGACAACACAAATAGGGCAACAACACAGCTTGCCTCTCATCACAGACCAGGGTAGTTCAACACAAACTGCACACGAATGGTGGTGTAAGACACAGACAGACAGACAGACATGCCAGTGGTGCGGACAGACACAGGCTGGTGTAGGCTGCTGCCTGAACTGCACACTCATAGCTCTCCAAGTATCATCGCACAGGAAGTAGAAAACACCAGTGTTCACATACAAGTCGTCACGTACGTCCAATAAGAGTTGATCTCTGGTATCACAGTCAATGGCTAGCGTCCATGTTAGCACCGTAGATGTAAAGCGTACACGTCGCGAGAGAAGAGATACTATAGAAATGTGTCCCTCGGGTGTCGGCCTTCTTGAAAGTTTATCACTGGCCTTGCAGGTTTTGATGACGGAGCTGGCAGCGGTGGCAGCAGCAGCAGCGGCGGCGGCGGAGAGGAGAGTCAACGGAACATAAAGGCACGGAGATGGAGAACGGAACTCAATAGAGGAAAGTACTCACTTTAGCAAGACTCACAGATTCTTCTCTCAAACAAAAAATAAATTGGTTGGTAAAACACTATGTGCTTGTGCTGTTTACGAATGGTTTCTCAACATAAATGCCTGCCTGATGAAAATGTCGCTTCATCTTTGTCACAAAAACATTTGGTATTACGAAGATGTCTCAAGTGTCAAAATGGTTGTCCCAGGGTTGAGTTATCACTAATGCCACCTGCAGCAGGTACAGACTAGATGGTTGTGTTCCTGTGGGCAGACATGGTTCTCAATTTGATCCAACGCAGCAGCGGCAGCAGCAGCAGCAGCATGGGAGGACTACACACATCTACGCAGACAGATGCTACAGCACATATCCTGAGGGGAGCATGTACATGATCGCTGTCATCCTTTGTTGAATGTCGTTAATGAGATAGATTACTGGTTGAGGCTTGTATTTCAGTAGTGACCCACAAGATAGTCCATCTGTCAGAGGAGTTAAATGCCCAGTGAATGTATGGTTGAAGATGTAATCAGTGGCACTCGTGTGACACCAACAGTAAAATGTGCGTTGACTGCAGTGGATGTTTGGTCTGTAGTCAATAAATATAACAATGATGTGGGTCATCTCGCCTTCACATCAAACAAATCATGTCTACAAGATGCATGGTTTGACAGAAAACAACTCCGTACAACAAACAATCATGGGATAGCTTCTTGTAAATGCTTTTCTTGCGTTAAAAAACAAAATGAACAAAACAAAAAACTTTGCTGCCACTTCTCCACACACAAAAATAGATACAGCAAAAGAAAATATTAACTGTTTTTCCTCATTTTTTTCCTCCATTCAATTCTAATTTTCTCTTTCAGCAAAGATATCAAGCAATCAACACAGAAAAGAAACACTTTCTTCTCAGTCCATGTCATCAACACTTGCTTTCTCCCGGCTATTACGTGGTTGTTGTACACCACTCACTGCTGTCATATGATCGACATGTGATGTGAGAGATCACATGACCAGCTTATCCCATGTCTTGGACTGTTGGTGGTGGTTGTGATCTACTGACCATCATAATATTGAACTGCTTGGGGATCTGAAATCAGACAAACGATCATTAGTGTCACAGGTTCAGTCTAGTATCTAACATGTCAACAAACGCATAGTGTGAGTGAATTGGTTGCGTTAAACAAAGCTTTGAACAGTATTCCAGTCAAGTCCCTATGTTTCAGCTTGGTGGAGGAGAGCCTGTGGATTTGCACAAGTCTCACTACAGCCTAGCAGCAAGGCTAGAGAGACTGAAGTGATGCAAGTCTCAGAGTGAGTGAGTGAGTGAGTATGGTTTTATGCCGCTTTTAGCAATATTCCAACAATATCACAGCAGGGGACTCCAGAAATGTGCTTCACACATTGGGTACAGTACCCATATGGGGAATCGAACCTGGGTCTTCGCGCGATTGTGGTTTTCCACCATGATCATAGATTCCAGATGTGCCCAAGGGATACAACTCCGCAGAGCTAATAGATGTGACATTTCAGTGAAGATCCTAACACCGTTATCAAGCAAATGATGCATACTGCAAACACTTACTTTTATCTTTCTGTTCAAGCACCTTGTCCCACTCTGCAAAAAAGAACATAATATCATCAATACAGCTTCAGAAATCAATATTCATGTACAGCGAGATCCTCCTTGCACCAGTGAAATATTCACATTAATCCAGATCACACAAAGAAGGGGTGGACTGTGCTTCAACACTTGACAGTGCTTTTAGCAATATGTGTTTAAGTCTTGTCTTCAGTGAAATCCAATGTAATCTCTACAAAGCCACAGTACTGAATAATTAATTAGAACTGGAAAGTTGGAATTCCAATTTGGGACTTTTTATAGACATTTGCTGACTACTTGTGGCCCAATATCATCATCAGAGCAAGTCTAGATAAACCCATGTTGTGGCAGCATACTTCAAGGTTAATTGCTTCATAAGCTTGACATGTTTTACACTGATACAGGGTAAAGCTAGCATGCTCAACTTAGTGACACTAGTATTGGCCACAAGAAATCTCGTCCCTGATCCAAACTGTGCTAGATGGGACATGCAATTGCTTATTTTCGTGTTTTCACTATTTTGCGACAATTTAACTGGTACCATCTTGACATGTTTTCATTTGCCAACAGGAAGTGTGGTCTCACAATAACTTGGACAATAACTACAAAAATCAGTTTTTAAACAAATTTTAACTTAATAAAATAGTCAACAAATCACATTCAATAATACCCACACCCTTCCATCTTTTTGGGTTAGCACTGAAATTAGTGAGTGAGTTTAGTTTTACACCGCACTCAGCCTGAAATTAGTTAAATATTCTCTATTCATTTTCCCCACTTGTTATATTAATACTGATCCAAAATCAACACATTGTAACACAGACATTTGTCTCCAATGTCATAAATACTACTCCTGATTTATATCTACATTAATTTGTCTCCAATGTTATAATTATTTCCACGTACATTTCTACAACATCCATGTCAAACTAAAGGGCTAGTGGTATCGATACTGACACATTTAGATATTAGACACGTGCCATATTGATTGAGCTACCTACGACTTGCAGCTGTTCCATGTGGTTTGTTTTTCTTCCCTCCAACTCAGTTCTCCACATGATCAACACCGAATTGTCAACCGAATCAGGACAATGGTGCAAATAATATCAGCTTATATCATGGAAGCATTACAGGATGATAAATAAATACTGTATCATTTGTAACAGGGATACTATGTCATTTCATACTGAATAACTTATGCCAGGCAACAGATGTTATACATGTAGTATATGAAAAAATAATAAACAAACCATACTGGAAAACTGGAATAATAATTATGGGTTGAATGTTTTTCTGTTCATGCATACAAATCTAAAGTTATCATTTGATGAAGGGATTGGCGTTTTTCAGTTGATGAGGTTTTTGACCCGAATGATCCTGTAAAACGCTTGACTACACAAACACAAAGACAACAAAGTTGTACTTTGATCTCAGGTGTCTACACCCATCCTCCATTTGTTAACCTGAAATATCTCATCTTATCCAATCAATGACCATCTTATCCAATCAATGACCATTTTATCCAATCAATGACCATTTTATCCTATCAATGACCATCTTATCCAATCAATGACCATCTTATCCAATCAATGACCATCCAATCAATGACCATCTTATCCAATCAATGACCATCTTATCCAATCAATGACCATTTTATCCAATCAATGACCATCTTATCCAATCAATGACCATCTTATCCAATCAATGACTATTTTATCCAATCAATGACCATCTTATCCAATCAATGACCATTTTATCCAATCAATGACCATCTTATCCTATCAATGACCATTTTATCCAATCAATGACCATCTTATCCTATCAATGACCATCTTAACCTATCAATGACCAGCTTATCCAATTAATGACAATCTTATCCAATCAATGACCATCTTATTCAATGACCATCGCCTACCCTTGCAATCAAACACCACCCATGCCCATTCTACAAATTGATCTTAGTACTATGATGATGATCGTATATCAAGGTTCACTTGTGTGAGTTAACGTCACCTTTAAAACGTTGATAGCTTTCAGAATGGGGCCCTGGCCAACAGAAGCATGTCTACTCAAAATTCATATTTCCGACCAACACTCCCTCAGAATGAGTCACCCCTTCAAAGATACACTATCAAGCATTAGTTAGAAAACGGACATTTGCTTTGACTCAACTGAGAAACAACAGCTGAAGGAGCTTAGATAAGTCTGGTTAATGTCAACCTAGAAATATTTTACCAGGCATAAAGTGCCTCACTCATTATTGGATGAATTAAAACAGACCAGCATTTCCAACATATTTCTGATTACAATATCATTGCATGACTTGATGCTGGAAACATGGCTAGAAGCAGAGTAATCAACGGGCGGGGCACTGCTTAACACACACTGGAGGAATTCGAGAGAAACACTAGAACAGGACAGTATTCCTGGTTCAGCCACAAGATGCAAGATGCCTTGGATGCACTAGCTCTCAACTTTATTTCCATTCTGTTTCCAGCCATCAATCCATACATCCTATCATCATCCCAGTAACAATCAAAATTAAGGTGTCCTCGAAGTCGCTCAGGTCTTCTCCCATGGTATTTCAATCTAGGACCTCCTCAATCTTAAAAACCTGATACGTGGGTAATGACAGAGACTCCTTGACTTTGCATAATTCACAATACTGCCCCGAAATCAGCTACATCAGTGACTGAAACTTCAATCAGATCATAAGGTGGCTGGATATACCTTTCTTAGAACTGCCCCGTCCCCCCATAAAAATATACTCCAACTAACGTCAATAGATGGTCAGCCATGTGTGCAACATAAAATGCTGTCAGTGAATATGAAATGTGTTTTCAGCAAAGTAAATCCTCCCCCTCTTCTGTCACAATGTCTCACCTACTGACATTCCCACTCCCCATTCATCCTCCTCATCCTGAAGCTATATGCACTTACATATCTACCCAGAATTCCATCCACCCCTACCCCACTGTACATCCTCTTGATCTCTAACCAATCCGAACCCTCATACTCAATGTCACGCCAACTCCACTCTCCATACCCCTGCCTCTTCTCTATCTCTCACAACCTCCCACTTACCTGCCCCAACCTCAAAGTGCCTTCACCCTTCTACTTCCAATTGTGCCCTCACCCTTCTACTTCCAATTGTGCCCTCACCCGTCTACATCCAAGTGCCCTCACACCTCTACATCCATGTGCCCACCCCTGTACATCCATGTGCTCCCCACCCCCTGTACATCCATGTGCTCCCCCTGTACATCCATGTGCTCCCACTCTGTACATCCATGTGCCTCTCACCCCTGTACATCCATGCCCCCACCCCTGTGTACATCCATGTGCCCTCACCCCCTGTACATCCATGTGCCTCCATTCACCCCCTGTACATCCATGTGCTCCCTCACCCTGTGTATCCACGTGCCTTCACCCTGTAGCATCCATGTGCTCCCACCTGTACATCCATGTGCTCCACCCCTGTACATCCATGTGCCCCTACCCCTCTACTTCCATGTGCCCTCACCCCCTGTACATCCATGTGCTCACACCCCCTCTACTTCCATGTGCCCTCACCCGTCTACATCCATGTGCTCCTTCCCTGTACATCCATGTGCCCTTACCCCCTGCTTCCATGTGCCCTCACCCCTGTACATCCTCCCACCCCTCTACTACTTCCATGTGCCCTCACCCGCCTACATCCATGTGCTCCTTCCCCCTGTACTTCCATGTGCCTCACCCTGTACATCCATGCCCTTACCCTCTACACCCATGTGCTCCCACCCTGTACATCCATGCCATCCACCCCTGTACATCCATGTGCCCTCACCCCCTGTACATCCATGTGTCCCACCCTCATCCTGTACATCCATGCTCCTCACCCCTGTACATCCATGCCCTCACCCCTCTACATCCATGTGCCTCTCACCCCTGTACACCATGTTCCCTTTGACCCCTCCATCCATGTGCTCTCACCCTGTACATCCATGTGCTCCCACCCCTGTACATCCATGTGCCCTCACCCTGTCATCCATGTGCCCTGCACCCCTGTACATCCATGTGCCTCACCCCTGTACATCCATGCTCCCCTTGACCCTCTACATCCATGTGCCCTCCCCTGTACATCCATGTGCTCTCACCCTCTACATCCATGTGCCCTCACCCCTGTACATCCATGTGCCCTCACTCCTCCATCTACTTCCATGTGCCCTCACCCCCTGTACACCCATGCCTCTCACCTCTTTCTACTCCATGTGCCCTCACTCCTCCATGTGCCCTCACCCCTCTGCCTCCATGTGCCCTCACCCCTCTGCATCCATGTGCCCTCACTCTCCCTCCATGTGCCCTCACTTCTCCATCCACCCTCCCTCTACCTCCATGTGCTGTACCCCTCACCCCCTACTTCCATGTGCCCCTCACCCATCCACCTCCATCATCATCCCCTGTGCCTCTCCATGTGCCCCTACCTCCTCCATGTGCCCTCACCCTCTACCTTCCATGCCCATTGCCCTTACCCCTCTCCCGCTTCCATGTGCCCTCACCCCTCCACCTTCACTAATGGAATGTCTCACTCATGGCGGCCCAGCACCACAAGAATGTTGCAGCAGAAGAAATTGCCAACCTTTCTCCCTGTTAACCTATCAATACATTTCTCACCAGATACCCAACTCAAGCATCTTCCCTCACCAGTAGGCCTCATCCCACTGCTTCCTAGAGAAACACTCTTAACACACCACCCACGTGTCCCTCCACAACATGATCTGATGAGCATCTTGCCCACCAGTTTCCATGTATGTTTCATGCATCTCACTAATGGAATGTCTCCACCGGTTGCCCACTAAATATAGCAGCTGCTTAGCACCACAAGCATGTTGCAGCAGAAGAAAATGTCGAACACTGTGCAGCAACACCATTCTCCCATGGTTTAGGAACCACTCTAGACTAACATGCACTTCCTCACGTTTCTGGGTTTCTGGGACAGACTAACTGATCACAAGCATCTTGCCCACCAGTTTCCACTCTCACCCACTGCTTCCTATATAGAAACACTGCTTAACACACCCACCCATAATATGGCCTGATCACAAGCATCTTGCCCAATCCACTGGCCTGATCACACCCTGTGCATCTTGCCTGATCACAACCAGTTTCCACTCTCACCCTGCTTCCTTCACTATATGAGAAACACTGCTTAACACACTCTCCCTGTGATCACGCATTTACACACCACCCCGTGTCACGTACAATATGGCCTGATCACAAGCATCTTGCCCACCAGTTTCCACTCTCACCCACTGCTTCCTATATAGAAACACTGCTTAACACACCACCCTGTGTCACGTACAATATGGCCTGATCACAAGCATCTTGCCCACCAGTTTCCACTCTCACCCACTGCTTCCTATATAGAAACACTGCTTAACACACCACCCCGTGTCACGCGTACAATATGGCCTGATCACAAGCATCTTGCCCACCAGTTTCCACTCTCACCCACTGCTTCCTATATAGAAACACTGCTTAACACACCACCCCGTGTCACACTGCTTAACACACCACCCCGTGTGTACAATATGGCCTGTTCACTGCAGCTTGTCAGGCCACATGAATAACTAATGTCTATACTGTTTCAACAATCTCTACTGATACTAGTGTTGATCAAGTGTATTTGTTTCAACAGATGTACTTCTAACGTGTCTGTCATTGATACGCTGTGGTGGATGGGCTGTGATTACTCAACACACTTATTATTCAAAGCACATCTGTAAAGTCTGAACATTTTCAGATAGATAACACAATCTTATCTCTTACACACAAAAACAGCACCTGTCGCATATTCTCAAAACCAAAACCAGAAAGGTTAAGGCTCTACATTTCAACTGATTTGGAACTTATATTCACTATGGCAACTGAAATTTTCTTACAACTGTCACCTGACCTAAATGTTACTGTGAATCTAGGAAGTGGTTTTGAAAGCAATCAGTAACCTCAACTGACTTCATTCTTCCAAATCATCAATCATCTGACAAACCCTTAGTCCCTGGTACGTTCAATGTCTGGTAGACCTACATGTGAAAGTGAGTGAGTTAGTTTAGTTTTACGCCACTTTTAGTTTTTATGCTGCATTGTACCCATGTGGGAAATCAAACCCAAGTCTTCGGTGTGATGAGTGAACACTTTAACCACTAGGCTACCCCACTGACCCTAACATGTAAGAAGAAATATTGTATCAAACATTTCTCTCCTCGGATCTAGGTTGGTTTTGTTTTCATAAAATATATATTCCAAAGTCAGGGTGCAGACCCCTTGCAAAGATTACAGTTGTATTATCGCTCAAATTCTGACTGACAGAAGTATGTCAAGTCAACTGACACACAACAATTTTTGTGAGCAAACAATCCTGAAGAAACCAGTTTTCAGCAAATCCTGAAAATATCCTGGAGGCAGCATGTTGTGACCAATATACATGACCCCCCATTCATATTGTTGGCTGTTTTCAAAGTATACACAGAAATCTTTTCCCATATATCATTGTAATTTAAAAAAACTTTATTTGCTCTGTTCTGTATCAATATGTTTTCCTCAACATGTTTCCATGTACACAAACCTCAATGGAAATCTACCATCTAAACGCAGTATAAATCACCCTCAGTTGGCAAGCACTGTGACAAGTGACAGATTGCGCTCTACAGTACAAGTGCTTCACCGCAGACTGATACCAGGTCACATGGTTTGATGTCATGTGACTGATGTTGAATCACCCCGAATGTGTCTGATCGTGCTCAGTTAATCTGTGCCTTACATAGATAAATAATCTAAGATAGTTATACTGCCTGAATGTCCTCAATGCTCAACAATCAGGTTAAGAATAGTGGTTAAGGAATCTGCCTCCAGCTTTCACAACATCAGTTTCATTCTCACTTACAGTTTTTAGGTGTATTTATTTTTATTTACTAAATTACTTGTTTAAAGATTGTTGCTATTTATCAGTTAATTTATTTTTTTTTTTCCAATCTTCAACCTGTTACAATTGAGTACAGTAACCTTTGATCCACATTTTTTCCACAGTTACATTTTGTTTGTTTGTACTCGCTTGCCCTCTCCTGCCTACGTCAACTGAAGGCCAATAAAAAAAAGTGAGAAAGACATTTTGTAAACAGCCACAATATACGTATTATCAATTAAGTTATGCATTTACTTTTTATCTTATCAGGTATTTGGAGGAGAAGAATCCATTAAAAAAAATTCCTTAAGTTTGTCTAGCTGAATCTGGCCTTGTGACCCACCTATTTTGAGACCAGAATGTTCTTTTTGAACAAACTGCCCATTTAGTGAAGTGTATCACAGACAAGCAATAACTAACATACCTAACTTAGACAACAGCTACCATTGCTACGATGGCTTTGTTAAAGTGGCTATATGTACTGACTGTAAAATACATTATTAGATAATTATACTACTTAATTAATAAGTAAGTCATCTAGCCTGAACTTGGCTCTTAGCATCACTTCAGTACATTTTAGTGTGGTATATTTCTCAGCTTTCTAAACCAAACAATATTTTACTTCAATTGGCTGACTGACTGACTGAGTATGGTTTTACGCCGTTTTTAAGCAATATTCCAGCAATATCAAGGCGGGGGACACCAGAAATGGTCTTCACAAATTGTACCCATGTGGGGAATCGAACCCGGGCCTTTGGCGTGATGAACAAACGCTTTAACCACTAGGCTACCCCAGCGCCCCTACTTCAATTAGAATTCTTATAACAAAAGGCTGGTTGTATAAACAACCACTACTTCAATTAGAATTCTTATAACAAAAGGCCTGGTTGTATAAACAACCACTATTAACTACTATTACTTTCAGTAGAAATTAGTGTTACATCATTAGTAGCAGTGGTATATGATGAGGTTTTTTTTTCACTTTCAATATTTTGAGACTTCTATATTCAAATGATACAACTATTTATTATCACTGCATAATAAAAACATAACAATTATTCTGCACCTGTGAAGATATACATTACCTATGCATGCCTGAACTCAATTAATTTAATGGTAAAAATAAAATAGACTAAATGTTAAAAAATTTACTTTCATTGTCACCATACAATGATTATAAGTTTTATCTGCCATCTATGCCATCTGCCATCAGTTCATTACTAATTAAGTATCAATATTCATATATTTGATCCAATACAGTGTCACAATTAATTATGTTTTTATTGATATAGCATTATACGATGACATCCCAAAAGAGGAGGAAGTTTTATGGACTGACAACATTTTTATGGCAATAGATGTGCCATTTCGGTGTAGATACCAGTTAAGTGCTTGACAAATGTGTTACCATCTACACTGAAACATTGCATCTATTGCAATAAACTAGTTGTCAACTCATATAACTTGTTTATCTCCATCATACCAGCTCCTAAATGCCACTTAAAATAACATCCCAAAAGATTACTGCTTACAAGACCAAACAGAATTTCACTTGGTTCAGACTTCGGTGGCTAAAGTGACAGACATCATCACAAAGCTGTTGCTAAGTGCCACAACTTACCTTTCTTCAAGTAGGCTACAGCCTCAGACACATTGAACTTCCCTCTGTGGTTGGCGTCAGGAGAGAATGCAAGCTGTCCTTTGGGTTGACTAGTTGGCGAGGGCGGAGGCTCAGCATCCCGGGAATCAACAGACACATCGGAGTTCTGAAGTTTTGCTACAATACCGTCACCATAGAAAACAAACACAGTTTTATTATTATCTTTGCTGGAAGCAGCAGTAGCAGCAGCAGCTGATAACTTAGTCTCACTAGATGCTGCTGCATGTTCAGTCCTTAATGCATTAGAACCTTGGCTGTTTCTATAACCCTGAGTTTTCGGCAGTACAACTCCGTTGAGTCCTCCCACTCTCGCGTCTTGGACATCTTGGCTGTGGAGGAGGATGTGGAGGAGCTGATGCTACTGCCTGGAAGAACCTCCGCCCCACCGCCATTGTTTGGTGTTGGTTGTGATGGTGTTTCTGATGGTTTGGCTGCAGTTGGCTCTGATTTGTTAGAATTGTCTTTTGGTAACGTCACTGGTATAGATTGAGGTTCACTTTGATTATGATTTACACTATCTTTCCTTTCACAAGGAGAAGCCCCTTGCTGCTGAATATTGTTCACACTAGTTGTCACATGGTCATTGTCACAGGTGCTTTTCACATCATGCTCAAAGTTGGAATCAAACCCGGAACGTAATGCCCAGGTTTTCTGGAGCTTCACCAAATCGTTTGTCCAGGAAGATAACAGATTTATTATTTTTCTTGCCATTGTTACCACCAACACGAGCACTCACAGACACTTGCTTACTACGGGTATCTTTGGAAACACTACCCAGATTCACAGCATGTTGAGATCGTGAACTTTCGGTATAGTTCAACACTTCCGCCTTAATAGCTCTCTGAGGTCCATTTTTAGGCCCATTCTTAGGCCCATTTGGGGGCCCGTTCTTAGGCCCATTTGGGGGCCCGTTCTTAGGACCATTTGGGTTTTCAGATTTTACAATTTGAATACCAGGCATTTTGGAATCAAATGTTACAGTAATGGTTGGAATAGGATGACTGTCATTGGAGGAGTTGGAGGGTTGTTCCCCCGACGGAGTCACACTTGTCAGAGTGTCCTCTGAAACAGTGTTATCGCTAGAACTACTACTACTCAAGATGACCTTTGAATCACTCACACTCACAGAACTGGTTTCAACGTCTACACTAGCAGGCACAGACACATCCTTATCGACCACCACAGGGTCAGACAGAAGGAATTCTTGACTACCACTTTTCTGTCGTGATCTCTGCGTTAACTTTGGACTGTTTTCTTGCTTGGTATCTTCAGGGCTTGATCCGATTGAATGTCTGCGTTCAGTAGGACTGCCTTTCCAGACGGTAGGTTTCCTGGAGTTGGCATTTTCAGACTGGGTGTCAAATGGCTCCTCTTCCTCAGCTTTTGGGCTGGTGGGTGAATTGGGTGGTTTAGGCGCAGCAGCCATCTTTGCATAAGACACTGGGAAACGCGACACAAACTCACTCAAACTGCCTCCTTTGGCAGCCGGGAGAGATTTCACCGACTCAATGTCACTGTCATCCTGGGACCTCAGTTCAGTCAGAGTATCAATTGGAACATCACCGAACGAGTTCCTCCTTCCCTCTCTGAAAGTTGGCCGAGACTTGGCAGCATTTGCCTTCTTGCCAAGAGCTGGGAAGGCTGACGGGCTGAGATCCCGAGCTTGCTCCTTCTTTAACAGTGAGGATATAGGTGGTGGCGTTACAGACCGGGGTTGTGGAAGACCCCGATTCTCCCTTGGTCCATTCTTTTGGCGAGGAATCTCGGGCACAACGTCTTTAGCACCTGGACGTTTCTTTTTCTTACTCACCAAAGTGAACTCTTGTTCAACTGGCGGAAGGTTATCAATGTCAGTGAAAATATAGTCTTGATGATTTTCAGGGATGGCAAGATCATCACTGTCTAAATTAGACACCATCCTTGTTGGACCATTTTCAAGTTTCATTTTGTCTAGAGTTTTGGAATTGTTGATGATGTAGTTCTTATTTTCCAATTTCTTATTATTCCTAAGCTGACCCTCTGATTTTCCGTTCTTACCCTTTTGTTTCTTATTCTCCACTGAAGATGGAGGAATAGTCTCCACAGACTTCTCCTTCTCTCGGTTTTTGGTTTTGTTCTTGTCTTTCGGATCAACCTCCCTCTTATGCAAAGGAGGACTTTTGGAAGAACTAATTTTGTCAGCAAGTGGTTCAATGTCTTTGTTCAACACAAACTTCGTGTCTGGTTTGCTGCATGACTGGGAATCCTCCAGTGGAGCTTGTGATTCTACTACACTGGTGGCTGCAGCTTTATCACCATAGTTGCCCATGTCCTCCTCCTCCTCTTCGTCTGCTGCAATAACTGGACAAGCGTCTGCAGCAGCTGCGTCTGCTGGAGGAATGGGGGATGCTAGGGCCTCACTGGTAACTGCGGTGGGAGAGTTGACAAGTTCCACACTCTCGTTGTGAGAGTCGTTAGTCTCGTCTGCCTGACCTACCCTTATCTTCTTCTCCTTATTCTTTTTAGCTGCTTTGTCTGCTTTTGCAGCAATCTCACTGCCAGGACTAGACTTCTGACTGACTTTCTTTTTCAGTTGTTTTTCACCAAATTTATGTGTTTCTATAAATTTGACAAGATCGTCTACACTAGCTATGTTCCCAACATAATTGGGAATATCTTCAGAAAGCTTCACAGGCTCCTTATGTGTCTTTTTACGAGGTTTCTTGCGATCAGTGCTTGAGGACCCGTCTTCCAAGTCTTTAACTGATTGCCCTTGAAATGGGAAAGGGTCGAAATTCAGTTTCACGTGGAAATTCAGGGGGGATGTTGGGGATATGTTCCATAATTAGTAGGCTTTCTTGAGCTGACAAGACTTCCCTCGACTGACTTGTTGGGTGGCTCTCTCATTTGCCTGTAGGCACTAGGTGCAATTGGGTTTCCGTTTATGTCATGGCAACTATTCCTGGTCTTTGAGCTGCTCACACGTTCATCGGCATCATCTGAAGATAGAAGACAAAGAATCAGAATCCAAAATCACAATTTTCATGGGGAAATTTACAAATATTAACAATATTCAACCAATACCCTGAGGACACTTTGAATTCAAACATTACCATGTGGGGAATCAAACTAGGTTTTCAGAATGTCAGACACTTTAACCACATATATACAAGATCACATGTTTTAAAATATTTGACATACTGATGAGAGGTCAAAAGAGAACAGATGTATTACTCCAATGACCTAGTTCTGAAGTTAATGCTGATGATCATTGTACAGTGTTAAAGCAAGCCTCTCTCCACTCCTGTGATTAGATTTAATGATTTTTTTCTGCTGGAGTGGATGTTATCACCCCATCTAGGAGAGCCAGAGCTAGTGTTCTCTCCACAATAACCCACTGACACTACCCAGTACAAGCTGCCACTGATGCACTACCCTCTATTCCTTAATGTCAAACGCCACTGGACACGAAAAAATGTCAGTCTGCAGTATGATTCTCAAACAAGCGTGTGATAAGTCTTTTAATAATTAATTTCTTTTTTCTTGCTCAGGTACTTCCATACAAAAACACCATTAACTAAATGTCAGAGTGAAATAGAAAAGGCCATTTTGTGGACGGGGAAATCAATGGAAGGAATAATGTTGCAGAACCAGTTCCACAGCAAACAGTCACAATAAGCATGTTTGTTTAATCACCATGTTGCAATGCAGCAAATCAAAGTTGTATAGGAAGCATGCAGCATGGGAGTGTGTGAGTGAGTTTAGTTGTGGTGATGTGTGTATGTGGTGTATGTGAGTGAGTTTAGTTCTACGTCGCACTCAGCAATATTCCAGCTATATGGCGGCGGTCTGTAAATAATCGAGTCTGGACCAGACAATCCAGTGATCAACAGCATGAGCATCGATCTACGCAACTGGGAACCGATGACATGTGTCAACCAAGCCAGTGAGCCTGACCACCCGATACTGTTAGTCGCCTCTGATGACAAGCATGGGTTACTGAAGGTTCATTCTAACCCGGACCTTCACGGGTGCAGCACGTTGGTAAACACCATGAAATTATCCTGACTTCTCAATACACGGACTGTGTGTTGATGATTTGGTGCTTCACTCTGAGAATGTGGGTTTAAATCCCGGCCAGGCCCACCACCAAAGTGCCACAGATTGTACTTTACTAGGAAAGAGTTCTGGCAAATATTACATTTGTTACTGTCTATTCTGACAGTGTGGGTTCAAATCCCTGATTGGACTCAACCCCCTGAAAGTACCAGAAATGGGCTTCACATTGAATTATAGCCAGCGCTTTAACCACTCTACCGAAAGTACTAGAATATATACTCTACCAAAAGAGTGTCATCCAACATGACCTTTACTACTGACAACTAACGTGTGATAAACAAAACAAATGGCTGTCCATTTATGACCAATCTACATTCCCTTTCCTGATATATCTGATACCTGATATGAATACGTATCTTATATCAAATATATTCACCAACTTGGCTACATTCCTTCATATGATAGATAGTGTGTGAAAAGTTAATCCAGTGGTTGGCAGCCACAAGCAATGTTCCTCCACAGTCAGGGTAAGATGAAACACATATAAACTGTGAGCATGTTGGTTCTAAGGATGAACACAAGGTACTCAGAACCTATCCAGCCCCAGGGATGGTAACTGAACCACTTCTGTGTATTTTCTGTCCTTGTACACCTTTCAGAAAGTAACACTAATCTTACATTGTCAGCATTCAACCAGTGGCAGCTTGCCACTCTCCAGGTCTATGGTTTCTTTACAAATAGCATGCCCACGATACACCTGCTGGCATAAGATCTACTTTTTAGCTGATGCTGACTGGGAAACCATGTTGCATGCGCCTTACTAGTCCTCACCCCCTACACCAACCCTGACTTGTAGGAAAGCAGACACTTGGGAGAAAAAGGAAGGGAGATGGATGGAGGAGAGGATCCAAGTCAGGTGTTTAGTTGTTTGTGTTTCCAACTATTCTCATCAACTTCGATCACCATGGCCACTAATTGATCTGGGGACGCATGACATTGATGGTCAGATTAACGTCCATCACATCAGGATATAATGACAGTCTAGGGTTCACTTCCTAAAGCTCCTGTTACTTGACTCTTGCAATACGCATTAGGGACCTTACTTTAACCTGGAATTTTGGGGTGGTGGGGTAGCCTAATGGTTAAAGTGTTGGCTCGTCACGCCGAAGACCCGGGTTCGAATCCCCACATGGGCACAATGTGTGAAGCCCATTTCTGGTGTCCCCCGCCGTGATGTTGCTGGAATATTGCTAAAAGCGGCATAAACCAAACTCAGTCAGTCAGTTAACCTGGAATCCCCTTGGATACATGGGACATGTGGGAGACAGGGCAAATGGGGAACAGGGCATATGTGTCATGATGTGGTGACTTGGGATATGTGGCAGCATATCAGTACTTGTCAAGTCCATGATCCTGAAATGCCCTTTGCCCCAGCATCATCATTTTGGCAGCAATACCGGTATATCCAATCTCATCTTTCTTATCACCAACCTTGCACAACCAATCAAAATGCCTCTCCTGAACTTTCAACTCAGACCCACATTCAAACTGCATCTGAGAAGGATCTGACACATCTTATATTGAATCTGAAGACTGTTTAAACATATAAGTGGAACTGCTTTGGCTTTGGTATCTCTCCATATTTCCTCATGAAAACCATGTTTTGCAAATTTTTAAATGATGCATGATCTGAATCACTGCAACACATTTCTTCCATTGTATAGCAGTATAGGAGTAACTGTCTTTTAACATGTCAAGTTGACATCATTTCAGTGTTCTAATCGTGTTTCAGTGAAATACGGATACAACTGTAATAAGTCATAAATTTGATTCAGCCCTTTATGTACATTACATGTCATCTTAACATGTACCTGTAAAATGTTTCAGGTATTTATGAGCTTTTCTCAAATGTAAACAAATTCCCAAACTGGGTAATAAAGTATTACCTTATCTTATCTATAAGAAGTCTCCATAAGTTCTGAGGTTTTTACAAGCCTGAAGTAATAATTATTTCTGTTTCTTGCACATAATTCAACCCTGACTAAAATACAAAGGTATGGTGAAAAATGTCCCCAGGTATTTATCATAATACAGTGAAGGCAGACAAGAACCAGGGATAGATACCATCACATGTGTGTCATTCCAACACCATTTTGTTAACCCTATAACTGACCATTCACATGGACAACAAACAACAGGCATTTGACATAAAGAGTGAGTGAGTTACTTTTACACTGCTTTTAGCAATTTCACAGCGGGGACATCAGAAATGGGCTTCACACATTGTACCCATGTGGGGAATGGAACCCAGGTCTTCATCATGGCGAGCGAACGCTTTAACCACTGGGCTACCCCACCGACCCTATCTGACAAAGAAACAAGCATTGTCACTAAGGTGCCATAATCCAGGTAAAACGTTAAAGTCCCCTTGTGACCTTGAAATGAAGGTCAAGGTCACCAAACCTGACTTGGCCCTTTCTTATAGTGTGATGAACCCAGGTACCAAATATGAAAAGAATCTAGTGAACGGTTCTTAAGATATTCCAATTCGTATGTACGTACGGACGGAGCCTAATACTATATCCCCCGCTTTGCGCTAAACGCACGGCGGGGGATAATAAAATTACCATCAAAATGACCTGCCTGAATGACGAAGATGACAGGACAGGAACACAGCCTGTGATATTCATATCATTGACTCGTTACATGCACAGAACCTCCTCATCAGTCACTGTATCGCCAGTTGCAGAAACCAGGCGCTTTCATGTCATACACACTAGGCACATAGGAAACCAAGGGAATTACACATCAAAATGACCGCAGGTTCAATTTCCACAAATGACAGTAGATTTTAGCGTCAGTTCTGACAAATGTCATCCCTGGTTCCACATAAATGCTACTGAGCCATATTCAGCAGATCAGAGTTTATGACATGCAGCCCCATATCAGACAGTAATCGCCATGATTTCCTCCAATGTCCACGCTGTAGTCATGCTCTAATCCATATGGAATTACCACTTTCCATGACAATGTCACAAGAAAACATGACTATTGTAACTACTAAAATCTGGTTAAGGGTCACCTATTCTTTCAATTTACTGTTGACTATAGTAACATGAGAGAATCACGTGGTCCTTCACTTCTTTTGAGTAATATAAAGGTAATATGAAAGAAATGGATGGTATTTAACCTTTTTTTTAGCAATATGAAAGTAATATGAAACAATCGGATGGTCCAAATTTTGAGCAATATGAAAGTGATATGAGTGAGTGAGTGAATTTAGTTTTACGCCGCTTTTAGCAATATTCCAGCAATATCACAGTGGGGGACACCAGAAATGGGATTCACATATAGTACCCATGTGGGTAATTGAACCCAGGTCTTCGGCATTACGAGTGAACGCTTTAACCACAAGGCTACACCACCACCCCGAAAGTGATAAGAAAGAACCAGGTTGTCCTGAACTTCTTCTGAGCAACATAAGTGATATGAAGGAACCAGGTTGTCCTTAACTATACTAAGGTAGTATATACTTTTAGGCCTTATATGATCACACACACACAAGGTTGAATAACCTAGTGAGTGAATGCTGTTGTACAGCAGTTGGCAATATCACAGCCTCGTGATGGCCTACATCTAGACTGGCGACAGTGATTGTAGCACAATTTATGATCCCAACCATCAAGAGTCACCATTGTAAACATATAATACTGTTGACTCTGCTCTTACAACAAGCTACCAGAGACTGATATTACAACCTTGGTTTCCTGCTGGGACACGTCAGGATGAAATACTGGAAAGAACAACTGTAATTAGAAACAACTGGTCTCAAACGAAACAAGTTCACACCCACAATCCCAATACTTACGCTGATGATGAAACAGGTTATTCACAAAGTACGTTTGAGCGAGCTTAAGTAGCTAACCACAGACTGCATCTC